CACAGTGAGAGAGAGCACAGTGAGAGAGAGCTGAAGGGCTGGATGGCCCTGTGAGGCCGCTGATTGGCTAATCGGCTTCACACCCGCTTTCAGTGATAGAAGCCGGAAGAACAGCTGTACTCAGCTATGTTAATCCGATGCCGCCCTTAGAGGCTTGTCCTTACAGCATTGAGCTTCGCTCATTGGTCTTTCAATGATTCACATCTCCTTATATTGCTGCATGAGTGAGGCATAGGTCATGTTCTGACGAAGGGGGCCTGGCCCCCGAAACGCGTCATCAAAAGGAGTCCTGTGTTGATACACAGGCATCTGTGCAGCTGATATTCAGATATCGTTCTGGCTCATCTCATATGATTTTACTGATTCTCCTTTGTGAGTATGTTTTTACCTTGTACTTTAGCTCATATTATTAAAAACCATCTACACCAGGGTGGGCGCCCTTCTCTTTTCTTTTCTCCCATAAGATTTTGCTAAGGTCTGCCTAACTTCGATCTTGCTAAAATCAATCAAAATTGTGATTACTTACATCATTAACTGATCATCTGGGCTCCTGTGGAGGAACAAGTACTCAGGAAGTACTCTTCTATGCTTTACAAGTTCCAGTATTCAATACACTTGAGGAAAGTCAGCCAACCAGTCTGCTAATGGGTGAGCGGGATGAACAAAGGGGGAGTCAACTGGTGGAAACTTGAACATTAACACCATTTTGCTTGCTTACTGGTTATTGTCCGTTTCCCCTATATGTGTAATGGCAGAGACGGAATGGAGGATGCTCTTCCATTTAGCACTGGTGAGGTAGAAAACTTGAATGTGTGAATGCTGCTAAATCTCCTAGACATGTCCACCAATCAGTGGGTAGGACCAATGGAGGGAGATATGGTAGGAGTGCATTAAATGCTGGGACTTGTAGAGCACAGAATAGACTTGTTTCTCCACAGGAGCCTGTTTAGTTAGTTGGTCAGCTAGTGATGATGTGACTGGCCACCATTTTGGTTAATTTTGTCAACAGAGTTAAGTTAAGGTGGCCATACATTGTACAATTTTCGTTCGGAAATCGTACAGGTTGGAAAAATTTTCTCTGACCAGTCTCCAGATCTCAACCCCATAGAAAACCTTTTGGAGGGAGTTGAAAGTCCATGTTGCCCAGCGACAGCCCCAAAACATCACTGCTCTAGAGGAGATCTGCATGGAGGAATGAGCCAACATACCAGCAACAGTGTGTGCCAACCTTTTGAAGACGTACAGGACACGCTTGACCTCTGTCATTGCCAACAAAGGATATATAACAAAGTATTGAGATGACCTTTTGATATTGACCAAATACTTATTTTCCACCATAATTTGCAAATAAATTTGTTCCAAATCAGCCAATGTGATTTGTCTGGATTTGTTTTCTCATTTTGTCATAGTTGAGGTCTACCTATGATGCCAATTACAGGCCTCTCATCTTTTTAAGTGGGAGAACTTGCACAATTGGTGGCTGACTAAATACTTTTTTGCCCAACTGTATGACTATGCTTGATGAGGAAGTCTAGGTATAATTAAACGAGGGTTCATTTTTGAATGAAAATCGTACAATAAAAAATCGTAGTTTATCTGGAATAAATGTATAGCATTGATATTGCTGAATTAATAAGTGTGCTAGACTCTTTACAATATTGATTTTTGGGGGAAAAACGGGTGCAAATGTATTTTAATGCTGAACTCTATTTAAATAAACAAACAATTTTAAAGCAGTTGCATATTTCTTTAAACATGAAATCTTGCATACCACCTAGCATATGTATACATCTTCATCTCTGCCTCTTATTCTCCCCTGTAGAGCACTCAGACTAGTAGAGGAGCAGGCAGCACTAGAAGCCAGTTGGGTGTGCTGCATGTCTATTTACTGAAAAGGAGTCTGCATAGATGACTTGTCAGTGTGTGATTCCTTTATTGTCCAGTCACAGGCTGTGGTCTGAGAGGTAACAATACTGTATTCTTAACCACAAATATATTAAGTATATAAACCGCTCCAAACATTATATAACCATGCACAATTTAGTGACATTAAGGCCAATAGCACTGGCCACATAGTGCATAAAAAAATTCACATGAAGGTTGTCAGATGTAGGAACCTAGATTGGTACTTAATAAATGCAAACGTCAGAAAACGGATGAATAATCAGGAGAAAGAGATATGGAGGGAAAAAGGAGCAGATGTGGGAAGAGGATGGGTGAGCCCCTATTTTTTTGCAGCCAAGTGTTCAAAATGTATAAGTTTAGCAACAGGTATTCAAAACGTAGTGAGTGTAGGGTAAAATGGCATCCAGTACAATGTTCAGCTAGGTCTACTGTATGCCTCGGTCACCTGGCAGGAATTTTCAGGGTTCAAAACCAACCCGAAATTACTCAATTGTTGCCCCCCCATCTCAACAAGGTTTTGTAAGGTTAAGTAGTATGTGGATGTAAGTGGTTTTCTTTTTAATCTGGAGGGGAAGGCAAAAAAATAAATATGAAGGGAGTTACACCTTCAAATGTACAGTGGTACAGGGCATTTCTGGTAAAAGTACAGCGAGTCACTTCTTTTGCCCTTTTTAAACAAACAAACATCATGCAACCTAGGGATAATGGGATGTTTCAGATCTAAATGGGAGGTAAATCAAATTCCATCCATTGAATATTTACTTCAGTTATTCAAGCATGTGAAAAGCAAATTCCTGTTGACTTTGAATACCCAATTATGTGCAGATGAAGAAGGTAAAGAAGAATTTTCTTTTTGTATGATTAGAAATCTGAAGTAAATATTCACACAATTTGAGTGAAGATGTTAACTCCTTTAGTTAATCAGCTTTACTGCAGAGTTTTACAGTATACCTGGCATGTTTGCTAGAATTTTTGCTAGAATGTTGTATACTAAGCCTTCCAGTAAAGTGAATCATTGATTTAACTACCACTGTGCTTTGGCGGGGTGTGTAAACATCTGAAAAAACAGTAAATGTTCTGAGTGGCTGAATTTTAAACAGGTGGTTAGGTAAGGGGTCATTTCTGCTTACAGATACAGTGCAAACATTCACAATTGTAAAACATTCAATACAGTTGCCAATCTTCCCAGTAGTGGATATCCCAGCTAATTCAACACAAGGGGCAGTGCCCAGAGAAATTACAAAAAAACTGTTACATCTCAGGCCTCAGTTAGCATGTTAAATGTTAACGTTCATTACATTCATATATATAAAAAAAGACTTTGTAAGGGTTTTCAGGAAAAATCCTCTAAAAAGAACATGGCAGCTCAGCTTAGGTTTGCAAAGTTTGCATCTGAACAAACCACAAGACTTCTGGAACATGTCTTTTGGACACATGAGACCAAAGTGGAGATGTTTTGAAATAATGCACAGAGCTACATTTTGGTAAAAAAAAAAAACAAACACAGCATATTGGCACCAACCCCTCATACCAACTGTCAAGCACGGTAGTGGAGGGGTGATGATTTTGGCCTTGTTTTGTAGCCACAGGACCTGGGCACCTTGCAGTCATTGAGTCGACCATGAGCTCCTCTGCATACCAAAGTATTCTCGAATCAAACGTGAGGCCATCTGTCCGACAGCTAAAGCTTGGCCGAAATTGGGTCATCCACAACAGAATGGCTGAAAAAGAAAAGCTTCAAGGTGTTGCAATACCCCAGTCAAAGTCCAGACCTCAACCTGATTTAACATGCCGTGACAGGACCTTAAAAGAGCTTTGCATAAACAAATGCCCGGAAACCCCAATGAAGCAATGTTGTAAAGAAGAATGGGCCACGATTCCTCCACAACAATATGATAAACTGATGGTCATACAGGAAACAATGACTTTGTTATTGCTGCTAAAAGTAGTTCTACAAGCTATTGAATCACAATACTTAAGTTTTTTTACACATGGCTTCTCCATTTTATCTTTGTTTGTAAAATAAATATTGACACAATGTAATATGTTATGTGTTGTTGTTCATCCAAGGTTGTATTTACCTAATTTTAAGACCTGCTAAGACCAGATTATTGTAATTATGTCCTAATACTTAAAACCATAGAATTTAAAGAGGGTGTACTTTCTTTTTCACACAATTGTAACTTCCTGGTTAGAGTAAAGGGAACATTTACTTTCTGATCATAACATTTTACAGTTGAGATGCATGGTGATTGCTTCCTGAGCAGCACAATAAATTGCTGTTCAACAGAGTAAATTACATGGTCTCTTTGCGTTTACATATATTGTCCTGCAAGTACAGTACTGTGTAAAAGCCTTAGGAAAAATGCTGCAAAGTAAGAATGCTTTCAGAAAATAAGTTTATTTTTTTCAATTAACAAAATGGAAAGTAAAAGAACAGAAGAGAAATCCAAAACAATTCAATATTTGGTGTGACCACCCATTGCCTTAAAAACAGCATCAATTCTTCTACTTATCCATCATTCCATACCATCAGGTAGGCGTGCGATTGTCCCTAAGTGTATTCTACTGCAGGACAACTGCCCAAAATATACAGCCAATATCATTAAGAACTATCTTCAGCATAAAGAAGAATGAGTACTGGAAGTGATGATTTGGCCCCCATAGAGCCCTGATCTCAACATCATGGAGTCTGTCTGGGATTACATGAAGAGACAGAAGGATTTGAGGCAGCTTACATCCACAGAAGATCTCTGCTTAGCTCTCCAAGATGTTTGGAACAACCTACCTGCCGAGTTCCTTCAAAACCTGTGTGCAAGTGTACCTAGAAGAATTGATGCTGTTTTGAAGGCAAAGATCAGTCACGCCAAATGTTGATTTGGATTTCTTTTCTGTTAGTTTATTTTTATCAATTAACAAAATGTAAAATAAATGAACACTTATCCACACCTGCCTAAAACTTTTGCACAGTACTGTATGATGATTCAGAAATATTCCATACAATGTGTTACTTGGTTATTTATTTATTATTTTCCTTTCCTTTTTATTCTTAAGATGTTTTAGAAAGCTAATTTCTTTTTCTTTTTTCTTAAAAGGACCGGTCATCTACAGAATGTTTATATACCCTCCAACACGTCGTGCTCTATTGGTTGGTTGTGGATTGCAGATGTTCCAACAATTGGCCGGTATTAACACAGTCATGTATGTATTTTATTTTTTGTATGTATTTTGACTGAGATAATGTATGCCTCTGCCTTTAGGTCAGTCTCAAAGTACAGTAATATGTCAACTTCCATGTTTTAATTGTCAGAGGTTTCCCTTCAGCTGCACTAGACTTTTGATGACAGTTTGCTGATAATTTTTGGTCAGGTGAGATCACATCCTAACATCTATGGAGCATCTTCAGACATTCATGTGCAACCCTTTTCAAGAACAATCAGAGGGGTGTAAAACTGCAACTGGATAGCAAAACCCCTGAAAGGTTAAGTTGGCCTTTTAACAAGAACTATTAGACACTGAAATATAATATTCTATTATGAGATTTAAATTGCTGTTCTTTGCATATGAACAGCTAATACATATTAATTTTCAGCATTGATGCTCATTTATAAAAGCACATGCGTACCAAAATGTATTCACTGCAACTAGGGTTTAGTACATTTACAGGGTTGTGTGAACAGTAATATAACCCTATTTTGTTTTATACTTCAAATCCAAAGACATTTTTGTGTTATGAAACGGGTAAAGAAACATTTGTATGCTATATCCATAATGGTATTACTCCTAGGTAATAGAAGAATATTGACCATTTGTATCAATGTATGTTAACATCAACAACAAAAACAAACTTCACACGCACACATAATTGCTAGCAATTATTTCACTAACTGATGCTTGTACTTCCATCATAAGAGGTTTAGAACATGCTAATAATATAGGAACAAGATGTCCTTACTGTTTACTGAGATGCTGAGCTAACTCATATGTGTTTCATATGATTTCCTTTGCTAATTGGTTTGTGGAAATATTCTGCATTCATGCATGCAGTGAGCTTCTACTGTAAAAATCAGAACTGAGATAAGATACGTGATTTTTTTTTTTTCCAGCTCTTTCATTAAGAGTGTTATTTTGTTAACCTACAAAATCCAAACATATGTGTCCATGCTCAAGGCTTAGAACAGATGTAAACCACACAAAAATCTTGGAGACCTACATGCTCTCTCTTAATGGAAAAACTCTTTGCAGCTTCTAAACACAATGGTGCATATAAACCATTCTTGTTAAACTGCACTTGCCATAGAATCAATACTCTGACCTTTTTAGTTGTAAATATAGCGTATTCTAATTAATTCACAAATTGCACTGCCTTGGTCAAAGTGAATGTGTACCCAGAATAAAAAAGGAAAAATTACAGGTTTGAGAGACCTCTTTTAAAAAAAGAACAAATTCAGCAAAAACTGATACACATTTTCATAACCATGCCCTAATTATGTACAAATGTATTGTACAAACATTTGTACATTTTAACTGCTGGGATCTGACTATGTCCAAAATGTTCAAATTAAATTCTTTGAAAAGCTCAAAAACCCACAGTATTTGGTACAAGAGTGCAGTTCCCAAAGGAGAGAAGAGGTGTAAACTGTTGCATCCTCTACATCTGTTACCAAATACTCTTATTTTCGTACCTTCTCCAGAGTAGTGCAGAACACCATTAAGTTGATTTGCTGAGGATTAGCTTTCACACTGGTCTGCATTTACATTATATACTGTATGATTCAGGGAACTTTATTTTTTTCCAGGAAGTATATAGTATTTTCATTGTTCATATAACATAACTCATTGCAGTGTCCACCTTCAAAACAGTTTTTGATGTAACTTTGAAATTTTTACAGGTTTTCACTTCCCTTTTCTATTTTATGAAATGTAGACCTCTGTAGTCTAGTCACTAAAAGCAGGTTTGAATAGCTTCTACAATGACAAGCTCAATTAGTTGTAGGAAGACCATCTGGTCATATCCCCTTTAAGTGTCCTTATAATCATTATACAGCACACTGCAGAATACCAGCAGCTACAGAGGACTACAAATCCCAGCAGTAATAAATTCTACAGCGCAAAGCAGAATAACACAAGCTACAGAGGACTACAAATCCCAGCAATAGAACATTATAGTATAATGTACTATTGCTGCGATTTGCTGTATTCCTCTATAGCTGCTGGTATTCTGCATTGCGCCGTATAATCATTATACAGCACACTGCAGAATACCAGCAGCTACAGAGGACTACCAATCCCAGCAGTAATAAATTCTACAGCACAACGCAGAATAACACCAGCTACAGAGGACTACAAATCCCAGCAATAGAATATTATCATATAATGGACTATTTCTGCAATTTGTTGTATTCCTCTGGGATTCGTTGTCTCCTTTAAGCAGTGGTTCTCAACCTGTGGGTCACTGTGTGATTTCTGCTGTGCTAGGTGAGACTCCTCCTCAGCCCTCTCCTAGCGCAGCAGTGTCAGTTCTCCCGCCACGCTGCCAGATGTCGCTGCAGCAGCCACGTCATCCCTAAAGTTTACCGTTGGGAGTCACCACAACTTGGCAAATGTTACCAAGGGGTCCCCGCCCTAGAAAGGTTGAGAACCACTGCTCTAATTCAATACTTTTAGGTCTAAACGCATGGGGGCTGGTGGGGGTTCCTAACCTGCTACTATACTACAGGGCAGCACAGTTGACACACCTTTCCTTTGTTTCAGGTATTGGGTCTCCAACCCAATACCTGATTGGACATCTATTGAATCTTGCTCCACCTCCGCGCTTCCAGTCGGCATACTGCAATGGATGTCGGCGAAACAGAAGCCGGTGGTTTCCACCCCAACTCCTTCTCATTCCCTAGCTCTATGGGACAGGATGCGCAAGACTGTGGAGTTGATATCCCCTCACTCCCCATTGGCCCCCGTGTTCGGAAACCCTGCATTGCCCCCAGGTCTACAGGCTAAAGCCTTTCAATGGTGGATTGACAAGGGCCTTTATAGAATTGGAGACTTCTTTAAACGGTAAACCATTAACCTTATCATACTGTCATAATAAGTTGTCCTTGCCACATTCTGAACTTTTCAGTTTCCGACAATTGCACCATTTCATACACTCTCTGGAAGCTCCAAAGGCTGTGAATTCCCTGTTATCTTCCTATGAACAATTGGGCTCCGGAAAGTATGGCTAAAGCAGAGGTGTGTCTCTATTATATTTGATACAATTGGATACCTTCGCCAAACTATCATATATGTCTGCTTGGGAATCGGACCTGAGAGTAGCCATCTATTCGGAAACATGGCAGACTTGTTCCTCACGGTTAACATTGGGAATACTGAATGTGTCTTTATTAGAAGCCAATTATAAGGTTTTCTCACACTGGTATATGGTACCTTCAATATTAGCTGTGATTTATCCAGGGACTAGTTCCTCTTGCTTTCGGGGATGTACCCAACCTGGGACCATGTCCAATATTTGGTGGAGTTGCCCTAAACTCTGACCCTTTTGGAATAAATGCTACGCTTTATTATATAGAGTACTACATATAGAAATCCCGCGAGACCCACAATGTATCTTACTGAATAAACCGGTCCCGAAGCGGAAAACAATCCTCAAAACAAATTATTCCTTTTCTTTGCCTTAGCAGCAAAGATCTCTATTGCAAGAGCTTGGAAAAAGCCCCATGTCCCCTTTATGTACCTTAAATCTAAAGTAACCTGGATCATGATTCATGAGAAATTATGTAGTATCCTCCAAGGTGAACAACGTCTCTTTGAGAAAATTTGGGAACCCTTGTTACAATATCTTGGGCTTCTTGACGGTACCTAATTACCAATTACCCTCACCAATAGGGTGGCAAAGGGCAGTGGGGGGCTAGACATCGGAGCCTGCTATTACCCTTTCTTCTTTCTTTCTCTCATATACCTGTACACTTTTATTTCCTTTTCTTTCACTTTGATAGCCTCTCCCAAGACTGTGCTTCAGCCGGGTCCAACCTCATTAAGATTGGCCCATTATTTCCCCTTATTCTACTCGGGGAAGAACTTTTTTAATTAATGTTACGGTCTTCCTTCTATTTTGCTACTGATAACATCATGCTTCATTTTTGGTTGACAGAGATCGCTAATTGTGGGGAGACTGCCCCGTCCTAGCTGTACTTGTCTTTTGTTTTTATTTTTTATTGCTAATGAAACATTTCTTCAATAAAAAACTTTGACATTTTTTTTAAAAAGAGGGAACGCAGCAAGGGATGAAAAAGTAATACCATTTTATAAATCATTGGTTCGACCTCCTCTTGAGTATGCGCTGCAGTTCTGATCACCAGCACTCAGGAAAGATGTCGTTGAGCTGGAGAGAGTTCAGCGAAGGGCTACGAAATTAAAGGAATAGAAGGCCTGAGTTATGAGGACCCCCTTCAGCAATTAAACATATTCACCTTAGAAAAGAGGGATCTAATTGCAGTCTTCAAAATCATCAATGGGAACCACAATATTCAGAACACACTGTTCAATCCGAAAACTGCATTGAGAACATGGGGACACGACAGGAGGTTGGAGGAAACTGTGTTCAACCTCAGAATTCGTAGGTTTTTTTTTTTTACTGTGAGTAGTGAAATTGTGGAATTCCCTTACAGTGTCGGTGGTCTCCGCTGAGAGCATAGATAAATTCAAGAAACTTCTTGATGCGTTTCTTATTTCACTTCAGGGGCGGACTGATCGTGGCCAAAGAGGGGGCCCTTCACCTACCCCCGTGCCCTTTTCATCCCGCATGGAAGAGGACACGGGTTTGTTAAAGCGGCGACGGCAGTGCTCCTCTTCCAAACAGAGAATGCCTAGAAACATAGTCGGTGAGGTTGGATATAGTCAAGGGTCCATCCAGTTCAACCTATGTATGTATGTGATTGTGTGTCTGTATTTATCTTGCTCTAACACTTCCTTTACCCCTGCACATTAAGTGAAACAGGGGAGGACTGACAATAATATGTTCGTTATTGTTGCACATGCCAGTTGTGAGAAGAATAATTATAAGGCCACTATTTATGCCTAACTCTAAACTGATGAGCTAAAGAGGTATTTAAAAAGTTGCCTATGTGAATAAATCCCCAGGACCAGATAACTTGCACCCACGAGTACTTAAAGAACTAAGCACGTTAATAGCAAGGCCATTGTTC